TGAAGAAGGAGTCGGTTTAGACTTCGAAACGTTTAGCAGTTGTAAATAAATTTATAAAATAAAATAAAATTCTACGATAAAAACGAAATTAAATTTAAATGTGATTTCCTTATCATATTATCAACAGAATTAACACTACCTCGTATCAAATTTATATTACACATTCTTGTATTGTGGTCACAAAAATACCACAAGTGTATAAAGAAGAATGTGCTGTTTTCGTAAGTAATCTATAAAGTGCAATAAAGGTTTTATTTTATTTGTTCTCGATTTGTTGTAGGGTCGATTGGTGGCATGGTGGGAAAATTACCTTGTTTAGCTAGTGTTAGATCAACATTGTATAGAACACGTTTGGAAATATTACCACTACTTCCAAAATCAATTGAACAATTACAAATACCAAAATCCATGGCTGTAATATTTAATCAAGAATAATTTCTAATATACCATATGAATAATATAGTTGTATATGGGTTCTTTTTTTCGTTATTGATTACTAATCAACTTTATTTTCTCTTTTGGAATCACAAAATTTTCACATTTTTTGTTCTATTGTACATTCATCGTATCTTTTTTAGGAATAAAACTTATTATCTCTTTTGGGCCCTATCCATCCTTAGTGCTATCATTTTGAGAAAATAGTATTATCGAGAGGAAAAGAGCTTATCGTATAGAAATCGATAGAACTCGACAAGGCGAATATGATAATGCGATTTTAAGACTTATCTTACATATGTAACATCAAACTTAAAATTCTAAACTGAGACTGTATTTATATCTTCAGATCCTAAAAAGTAAGTTTCTAACATTAAAAAGTAAATATGGTGGCGACGTTGCTGTTAAAATAAAAGACAACGTGTAGATCTCACAAATTCTTTTATGGTTTCAGACGAATAGCCCAGCCTTCAACCAATCATATGATGTATGATGAGTTGGAATTCGAAGTTATTTTAATCGAAATATAGACAAAATAAGATCTCGATGGACATTTTCGATGTAAAATGAGATATTCTCTATAACAAGGCAAGCCAGAGAGTTGGGATTTTTACTACGTATTCTCGGCAGGAAATGAAAAAAGGGTACAGGTTTGAGCTCTAACGGATAAACTGTTCCGAAGTTATAGACCAAACAATTTTCAAAATTGCGTTAGACATTTTGTACAAAAAACCAGATTAAATACATGTTTGATCCTGATTTCCCGTTGAATAAAAGGAGTTAAAAACTTTTCTTGTTTGTCAAAATGTAGAGCTTGTTAAGCTCTATCTTTCTGTCTGTTTTAAAACCTTTTATGAATCGTCATTAGCATATGAATCTAGTTCTAATGTCGCTGGACAGAATTTTACAAAAATATTTTAAACAGAGGTTTTTGATAGAATAAGATTCAAACCTTATTTTATTTGAACTTAAATTACATATTCTGAAAACCTGCTTTCAGCTTACAAGAAATTGTAAAAACTTTTAGCACAAGTTTGAATAAATGAGAAAAAAAAGTTGATTCTTTCTTCATATGGAGTCAAAAATAGTCGGGTTTTGGTGTTATTTGCATTTCTGTATAAGTATCTTTTGATAACTTAAAGTATGTCGACGATCTATTTATCAATTGACGATCACGAAATTCAGTAAAAAAATTCATACAAAAACTCATTTTCATAGCGGAGAAAAAAGTACGAAAAATCTTTCTCAGCTCCATTGAGTCACCAATCTTCATTTTGTTCTTTAAGAGTCAAATAAAAAAATTGAAAAATTATCGTATTTGTATTTAAAAAAGGATAAGATCTAGATGGTTTGTAAGATTAAAAAAATTTTGTTTGGTAATATTAGAACAGAATAAAGTTTTGTCTTGGTCTCTTTTTTTTCTCCTAAAACACTCTAAAAAAACATTGCGATCTAAGATCATATTAAGTCGCATTAATGTGTTTTATTTTCACGGAATAAGGTACATTAATGTAACTTAATTGGATTCTAAGCCGCATTTATTTTAAAGTGAAATTTTTTGTCAGTTATGAATAATGAGATCTTATGGTTTTTGTGAGAATTTTCACTTGGCGAAAGACAATATATGTATTTTTAGAATTAAGTTCATTAATTAATCTTAATTTTCGGATGATTAAATGTTTTTACTTTACTCATCATATTCCGAAGCATCACTGATCACTAATATCATATGGTGTAAAACCGATTGATCAGCTTTTCTTTCGTAATTAGTTTTATCAAATATGATCCTCTTCATCAGTGAGAATATAGATCAGTTGACTTATGCACATGAACTGTATTAGAGTACATGTTGATTTATAACTTCAAAGGATGTACTGAAGGGGTATGAGAAAGAAACGTAGTTAAGAAAAACTAAATGTTTCTCTTTCTCGTTCAAAAAGTGGAACCGTCCAACAGAATTGTTTTTGGAATTTTCTTTCCTAATATTTTTACTTTACAACGGCATCCTCTAAAAATTTTTTGAGATTTGTCGTTGTCATTTTAAAGTATAACTGTTTTTTTCTTAAAAAAAAATCATGAACAAACATCGTTTGTCTAACAACACGCCTTCGTTTCCCATCATTGTGGCCAAGGGCATATTGAAAATAAATTAAAAAAGTGTAATCGTGTTTATTTCTTGTATGAAATGTTGTCAACTTTCAAGTATTGTTTGATTTTGATTTTTTCGATTTTTTCAGCGTATATAACACAAAAGCCAATATGTTTTTACTCTTTGTAATTGACGTAGTAAATATGATTTATATAGAAAATGAGGCCATAATAACAGTTGCCTCTTTAAAAAAGGTTTCATATTTGATCTCCATTTTCTAATATCTGTAAGAATAAAAAGTAGCCTAGATATTGCTTTTTATTTATTTATTTATTACTTTTCTAATTAAAAACGAAATAAAAACCTTGAATTTGAAATCTTTTATTTTTGAAAGTAAAATTGTTCTTTGCTATACCAGAAAAAAATTTCGTGCACATTGAGCAAGATAACGTGATTAACTCACAATCGGAAGAGATAGATCCGTAACCCAGGTTAAGTAAGAGTATCAGCGTTCAATATCTTTCAGTGCTGATGGAAATACATACTAAATGTAAATGTGTATAACTACTCTCAGACTCCCTGATCCAAGGTCGGATGACGTTTTCATGTCGTTTTTCTAGAAGTGTGTGAGAGTGTGTTAAAAGATCGCATCAACCGATTGATATTGTGATTTGTATAAATAATATTCATTAAAAAATATCGTCCTTGTTTTTGAGAATGACTAGTGCCGCGCCCCTTTTTGCTTTCAGAACTTAGAGAGGGTTCACCCATTTAAATTTTGCTCAGACTTTGTCAGTTTTTAGAGGATACTATTTTGAAATTTTCTGGTCTTACGAACATTGTCCGATTGAGTTAATGAAATTTTACAAATTTTCGATTTAATTTTGGCCTATTTTAAAAATTTAATAAAATTTCTAAATTTCAATTTTGAAACTCATGCTTGATGTCGACAGATTAAAATTTTATTAAAATTTTAAAAATGAAGCAAAATCAAACAATACTTGAAAGTTGACAACATTTCATACAAGAAATAAACACGATTACACTTTTTTAATTTATTTTCAATAT